AAAGATACTAGCCAAGAATCACGAAATTTCAAGCCTACAATAGCTTTTTCTTTTTTAAACTAACCTATCATTCTGGAATCTACGGACATACAACCAAAATTAAAAGCGCTCACAAATCTTTTGCCATAAACAACAATATAGAACAAAGAAAATAATAATAAAAAATAATTTTTAAAAAAAATTGAAAAACCAGCAAAGGAATTTAACAGATCTTTAACAGAATTTAACAGATCTAGACATTTTTTATAGGATATGCCCCCAGACAAAACCAAAATTAGGTAACACGAAGCAAGAAACTAGGCCACAAAAACATGAACCAAAAATGGAATTTTCGAATGGAAAATTGACTGATATTAAAATTAAAGTACTTGAAGAAGAATTGAAATTTACCCCCACACAACCCCAATCGCATAGAGAAAATTACTAATGACACTGAGGCTTTCTGTATAACATTACCACTACATGAAGCTGAATTTTTCTTAGGTATAAAAAAAATAATGACAAATCTATTGTAGTTATAGCCAATTAATATATATTATCATAACAGCAACTTGATCCAAAGAGTAGCATAACATTGAGTTGACAGGGGCAGATCAAACGGGACGTGATACGGCTCTTCGGATCAAGCCACTATTATAATGATAAAGAGCTAGGTTCACTTTATGCATAAAATGGCCATGTCCTTATATCAATTAATTGACTATCACCCTCTGTCCCATTTTATATATCAAAATAAAGTAGAGACTTAGTGCTTTCATTTCCTATAATAAAATTTCTTTTTGAGAATCCAGGTATTGGAAAACAGGCTTTCAGAAAATGCAATGTTCTTGAATTTTGCAGAAAACATGCGTATTTGACTACCTTCAGCAAAGAATTAAAATATGAGCACAGCCCACGATCCAAAAATTAAAACATGTTTTGTGATTTTCAGAAACAGATCTTTCATTATGTAATTGCATATTTTGGATCAGAGGTTGTGCTCTTTATGAAATATTGAAAAAATACCTCAACTTTTGGCCATTTTTAAGGGAATTTACAGGATATGGGAAAAATGACGCATTTTATGACGTCATAATGCATTGACTGGAGAGAAAATTACGTCATGTTCAATAGATACACTGTCACAATGGGTCCAAGTTATAAATACTGCATTTTCAATCAAAAACTGAGCAGTTCGATTTTTCAGAAATTCTCAGGGCCAAAAAAGGCCATAAGTGGCTCTTGCTCTTTATTACATACCCCTTACGATTAGCAAAATATAATGAAAACAAGAGGCTCAAGGGCCTTAACGGTCACCTGAGTATAACACAAAAATTGAGAGGATCATAGAGTATAAAATCAACTGATAGATGAAGCTTTGTTGCCCAAAAAACAAGAGAAGTAGGAAGATCAGGATCAACAAAATAATTAGTCTAATATTCAATAACAACTCATAAATTAAGTTATAATCTATCCCCCTCTCATCACTATCACCATGCAGACTATTAACAAACTATTAGCGCTTCTGTACTATCTTTAATGCCATAACATAACCTGTCACATTTACCTCTCTTGGTCTTTGAAGACCATTTAATAAGATTTTTATCTCATTTTTATTTTTCTAGTATTTACAGATCTACCTGATCATTAAAACTAGGAAAGTACTTTTTGTATTATACAATAAAAATTCTAGCATAATTCTCTTATTCTATTAACCTTTCAAATACGTTATTTACAGTGATTTATTATCAAAGGTGAATGGAAAAGGGGAATAACTTCTCTCAGTAGAATAAAAATTAATAGAGCCCTGCCCAGGACCTGATCGCTTGACTAAATGTTCCACATGGTCAAAAATCTGTTAAAAATACCCTTGCTTATTAAAATTTTTACTCAGTTTGCCTCTCATATGCACAGAAGTAGAAAAGAATTTCACATGTATGATGCATTTTTTACTACAGATTCAACACATCCCTACCCTAACACCAAAACCTATGACCCAGGGTCAAGAAATTTACAGATCTGGAAGAATTACCCTCAGCATCATAACTATGCACTTCAAAGAATTAAACATTTCTACTTTATCATCAATAGCCCCCCCCCCCCATCCCCGGTAATGCCAGAACCTCTAACCCTGGGAAGGGGCCACAATTTTTAAAATTTCTGTTAGAAGCACCCTTATTCACCATAACTTTGCAATTTGTTTATCTGCTCAACACTAAGGAGCAGACAGGATTAATTAATAGAATTAATGCATTTTCATTATATTATCAATACAGCCCCACCCTTACACCAGAACATCAGACACAGGGGCGCTGAAACTCAAAATTCTGAATGAATTTTACTCTTGCTCATCATAACAATACACTTAGTTTCTTTGCTTTATAACCGGAAGCTAAGAATAGAGCCCGCCCCCCTCCTTTCCACCAGAGCCTCTGATCCTGGGGCAATTTACTTCACAATTTTAGAAGAGGCATCCTTGCCTATCATAATCATGCACTCAGTTTGTTAAAATAATCTCCAGGGGCAGAGGAGAAGATTTTCAAAGTATTAATGCATTTTCACTATATAATCAATAGCGCCCAGCCCTATAACCTGAACTCCTGACCCTGGGGCCATGAAATTCACATTTTTTGAAGAGGCACTCTTGCTCATCATAACTATGTACTTAGATACATGTACTTTAATATCCAGTAGAAGAGAAGATTTTCAAAGAATTAATGCATTTTCTCGATATAATCAATAGAGCCCCTACCTAACACCTGAACCCCTGACCCTGGGGCCATGAAATTCACAATTTTGGAAGAGGCACTCTTGCTCATCATAACTATGTACTTAGTTACTTTATTTAATACCCAGGAGCAGAGAAGAAGATTTTCAAAGAATTAATTCATTTTCACTATATAATCAATAGAGCCCTGTCCTAACGCCAGTACCCCTGACCCTGGGGCCATGAAATTAACAATTTTGGTAGAGGCACTCTTGCTCATCATAACTAAGTACTTAGTTAGTTTATTTAATATCCAGGAGCAGAGAAGATTTTCAAAGAAATAATGCACTTTCACTACATGATCTATATAGCCCCCCCCCCCCCAACACCAGAACCCCTGACCCTGGGGCCATGAAATTAACAATTTTGGTAGAGGCACTCTTGCTCATCATAACTAAGTACTTAGTTAGTTTATTCAATATCCAGGAGCAGAGAAGAAGATTTTCAAGGAAATAATGCACTTTCACTATATGATCTATATAGCCCCACCCTAGCACCAGAACCCCTGACCCTGGGGCCATGAATTTCACAATTTTGTTAGAGGGCTCAATGCTTATTACAATCTTTTCAACAGTTTGACTGCTTGATTTCCAGGAGTAAAGAAGAAGATTTTAAAAGATTGCATTATTTTTGGTGGTTTTAGCCCCACTCCTCAGGCCCCAGGGGGGCAGGGACCATGAAATTCACAATTTTTGTTCCCCTTCACCCATAGATGCTATATGCTAAATTTGGTTGAGATTGGTTCAGTGGTATCAGAGAAGAAACTAAAAATGTTCAAAAGTTAACGCACGACGGACGAAAACGGATAGAAATAGGTCACCTGAGTGACTCAGGTGACCTAAAAAAACTTTTGGGATTAATTATACAACTTCTATTCATAAAACAAAGCAAATTTTTTTCAAGGAACCTTTTGATTCGCAAGATAAAAACGTCATGTACATACTGTGTACTATGTCATCAGTTTCAGAGAGGGGTGACTAGGATCCAGAAATCAAAGTGTGGTTATCCAAGTTCCTGTTCATTAATAGTAAAACTGAGTGATACATAGTCGGGTATATACATGTAATAAAAGTGATCTCATGTCACCTAAATGTAGGGACCAAAAGTTAGAGAAATTATTTAATAAAGTTGAGTCCTTTCCTGTCGAACAATTAAGCAGAAAAGAGAAAAGAAATAACTTAAACCAATCAAAATGGGATGCCATTGGAAAGCTTAAACATGACAAAGGCATCAATATTAAAGAGGCAGATAAATGGAGCGCAGTACTTATAGTGGATCGTGAAAATTACAAATCATTGTGTCTTTCTGTGGTAAAAAACAGTTCACACTATGTTAAAAAAAGAAGTCATACAAAGATTCGAAATCATTTTAGATAAATTTGGACAAACCCTTACAAGCAATGAAACCGCATAGCATAGAAACCAGTAACTTTTATGGTTTGCCTAAAATACATAAAAACCAGACCGTAAACGATGGATGAAAAATATCTTGATCAACGTACATTAGCGTTGAAAGTTCATCTGATCTGAAGATGAAACCCATAGTTGCGGAACCAACATGTGAAACTAACGGAATTATTTTAGTAATGTAGTTGATATACTGTTTTTATGTAAGAGATATTATAGCTTTTCTCAATACAATTCCCCAGAAATTAACTTTGAATCCATTTTAGTTTCATATAATGTCATCAACCTCTATTCTAAAATTCCACATGATCTAGAACTTCCTTTATCTTCTTCATCAAAGATTTCCCGAAGACTTTGTTTTAAAAAGTTTTTTTTTTACTTTGGAAAACAATTCCATATATTTTAACGAAAGGTTTTATAGACAAACGTTAGGCTCAGCTATGTGAACAAAAGTTGCACCAACTTATGCTACACTTGCTCTAGGATTCTTAGAAGGAAAAAATGAAAAATTATGATAATAAAATTTAATTTTACAAATATTCTTATACCTAAAATACATTGAAATCATGACTGTAAAAGAAAGCTTTCTTATTGTTTTTCTTTCTTTCTTTCTTTCTTTCTTTTTTTTTTTTTTTTTTTTTTTTTTTTTTTTTTTTTTTTTTTTTTTTTACATTTAATTGCATATTTTAAATATTTGCGAGAATTATTGTATTTATTGATTTCACGTTCTGTAAAATGCATTTGAATTATTCAAAATATATTGGTTCTACTCTTGGCGAATTTAACGTTAAATTAGATATTGATTTATTTATTTGACATTATTTATCCCATTTGTATTTATTATTTACCTGAGAAATGTCCATCCAGTACATATTAAATTCATCCTTTTCTAACGTGCTATCCTGTCCTGCATGACTAAACTTGTTTCTGTAAATCCGGATTCTTTCTAAATCGTCTGTTTCCTTTATATCTCCAATATCTGGCTTTTTCCCCCAACCTTTGGTTGGTGTAGGCAAATCTTCAACATAGTTCCTAAGCAGTTTGTACATTATCGATACATCAAACATTGAAGATAATGGACAACTTCCGTCACCTTAAATGCAAAGTGTTGTGTAATAACACGAGCTTAAAATCATCGCAGTTTACATAAAAATTTATCTGAGGCAAAACTTCAACATTTTAGTCACTTATGTTTGAAAATATTTAAACAGTAAAAACCAATAAAGCTCAAAATTTCAAAATTTACTTCAATTATGAACTAACTCCTTCGGAATTCAATGAAAACCTATAGGGTTTAGATAATGGACATTTCATTTGAACATTTTCAACTTGCAATATATATATTCACATCATAATCATTTATGTTATCAATAGTTAAAGTTTTATTGCCAGTAAAATGAAATCAAGGTATTTTAAAGTAAGATGGTCATAAATTGTGTACCAAATACATTGACTTGATGAATAGCAAACTTTAATTTAATGAACTATAACTATCTAGTTAGAATAAACTTGATTTTGATGTTGGTATAATGAATTATAATTTCGTGATTGTTTTGTAATGGAATTAATCAGAATAATTAAACCCATCGACAAAAAGGGGAAAAAACTGACCATTGAAAAAAATGCAAAGTAACTATTAAGATTCACCAAGAGCAATAAAATTGGAAACTTTGATCTAGATAAGAAAACAAGCTTAGAGCAAGCACTCCTGTGGTGATGAAATTTGGGACAGAATCCATAAATATTACAATTATGGGAATACCTTGACTGGTGGGTTATTTCATGTTGAGATTCATTGGTTAACGGACAGAACTACGAACAAGAGGGGAGGTGATGGTAAGGAAGCCAATAAAAATACCTTTTTTATACGGTAACATGAATACTCAATAACAGTACGTGTATAGAACAATGATGAACAAGTTTTGTTTTTCAGTTCGAAATAATATAAAATATATTAAAAACTAAAATTATATTGCAAAAGGTGTTAAGAAATGTAGAACAAGAGGCCCAAGGGCCTTAACGGTCACCTGAGTATAATACAACAATTTAGAAGATCCATAGAGTATGAAATGAACTGAAAGGTGAAGCTTTGTCGCCCAAAAGCAAGAAAAATAGGGTGATCAGGATCAACAAAATAATTAGTCTAGTATTCATTAAGAGTTCCCCATTTACCACTCTCACCAGACAGTATAAAAACAAACTATCAGTGCTTCTGTACTCTTTTAATTCCTTGTTGGAATTGGTGCATTGTTACATCGGCCTCTCTTGGTCTTTGATGAACATTTAATAAGACAAGTTATTTTTGTCTCATTTTTATTTATCTATTACTTACAAGTCTACCTGATCATTAAAACTATGAAAGTACTTTTTGTATTATACAATAAAAATTCTTGCATAATTCTCTTATTCTATTAACCTTTCAAGTACATTATTTACAGTGATTAATTATCACACGTAAATGGCAAAGGGGAATAACTCCTCTCAGTACAATACAAATTAATAGAGCCCTGGCCTGGACCAAAACACTTGACCAAATAGTCCTGATCATGTTCAAAAATCTGTTAAAAATACCCTTCCTTATTCAAACTTTTACTCTTTTTTGCCTCTGATATGCCCAGGTGCAGAGAAGATTTTTAAAGCATTTTCACTATATAATAAATAGAGCCCCGCCATAACATCAGAACCTCTGATCCAGGGGTCATGAAATTCACAATTTTGGTAGAGTCACCCTTGCTTATCAAAATCATGTATTTGTTTAAATAATAACCATGAGTAGAGAAGAAGATTTTCAAAGAAATAATGCACTTTCACAATATGATCTATATAGCCTCACCCTAGCACCAGAACCCCTGACCCTGGGGTCAAGAATTTCACAATTTTGGTAGAGTCATCCTTGCTTATCATAACTATGTATTTACTTTGTTTCAATAATACCCAGGAGTAGAGAAGAAGATTTTCAAAGAAATAATGCAGTTTCACTATATGATCTATATAGCCCTACCCTAGCACCAAAACCCCTGACCCTGGGGTCATAAATTTCACAATTTTGGTAGAGTCACTCTTGCTTATCATAACTATGTATTCAATTTGTTTCAATAATACACAGGAGTAGAGAAGAAGATTTTCAAAGAAATAATGCAGTTTCACTATATGATCTATATAGCCCCGCCCTAGCACCAGAACTCCTGACCCTGGGGCTATGAATTTCACAATTTTGGTAGAGTCACTCTTGCTTATCATAACTATGTATTCAATTTGTTTAAATAATACCCAAGAGTAGAGAAGAAAATTTTCAAAGAAATAATGCAGTTTCACTATATGATCTATATAGCCCCGCCCTAGCACCAGAATCCCTGACCCTGGGGTCATGAATTTCACAATTTTGGTAGAGTCACTCGTGCTTATCATAACTATGTATTCAAATTGTTTCAATAATACCCAGGGGTAGAGAAGAAGATTTTCAAAAAAAAATAATGCACTTTCACTATATGATCTATATAGCCCCGCCCTAGCACCAGAACCCCTGACCCTGGGGCCATGAATTTCACAATTTTGGTAGAGGGCTCAATGCTTATTACAATCATGCCAACAGTTTGACTGCTTGATGTCCAGGAGTAAAGAAGATTTTTAAAGATTGCATTAATTTTGATGGTTTTGGCCCCACCCCTCAGGCCCCGGGGAGCCAGTGGCCACGAATTTCATAATTTTTGTTCCCCTTCACCCATAGATGCTATATGCTAAAATTGGTTGAAATTGGTTTGCTGGTTCCAGAGAAGAAGCTGAAAATGTTCAAAAGTTTACGACCGACGGACGACGCACGACGACGGACGAAAAGAGATAGCAATAGGTCACCTGAGTGACACAGGTGACCTAAAAATACACAGTAAGTGAACAACCTGGAAACATAATCAAAAGCTGGTCTTCAGTAAATCTGTAAGGACCCTTCTTCATTTCATCTCCATAAAGCTTAAGCGTTTTTTCAAGATCTTGAGGCGATAATTTACAGTCGAAGTATACTTTCAACGCATCTCTGGATATTCCTATCAGTTTTTCTATTACTCTCCAGTAATGTTTTTTCGACTCCTCATCAGATACTTGAAAAATGCCATGTTCCGAATGATGGTCCTCTATATCTGCATATTAATAAAGAATAAATTCAAGCACTAAAGAATTTTTTGTCACATTTCTAAATTTCTTAAAAGTCAAATGCAATAGTATTCTTGTTAGCTGTACATATTATTAACGTTTTACCGTTTAATTAGGTTAGAAAAAGTCGTACCTAGATGATAAAACAGTCGTAATGTAATTTAGGGACCGTGCGTTTAAAAATCACTACTTCTTAGATAGCGGTGTGGCAACACACTTTGAAAAAATTACGCACGTTAAATTTTTTTTCAAAGTACGTTAAAATTGATTGCCTTGCATATTAAATATTTTTAATCTTTCCTGAAGACTTGCATAGTTTTTTTTTTAGTTTTTAAATTTCGGTCCTTCTAAACTTTTTCCCTGAAAAGTTTGAAAATAAGCCCAAGACTGTTAAATTTATGCTTTTCGTAAATTTATTTATTTATTTGATGGATGTTGTATCAAGAGGTGACAACAAGGGAGAGTATGTTTAGCCTGGAAGCACAGAAACATTTTTAAGAACGTAATGCAAGCGTTTGTAGATCGTAAAGGTCCCAGAATATGATTCTGCTACATGTGGGGTGCCGATTTAAAATATTTATTTAGTGGTCAGAGTCCCTAGAACGAGTACAACGATACATGCATTTTTTATGTTAATCTCTTAAAATTTTACAAGTCAGCACACAAAACTTCTTTAAATTTAAAAATCTCATTCACTTAAATTAAATTTAAAATTTTCAGAATATAACATTGAATGGAATGGGAAATAAGGAATGACACGTAATAAATAAACTAGATGTTTTAATCTTGTAAGATCATAGATATGAATGAAATGAAATGTTACTGACATTCATAAATTAAATTTATAACAGATCTGTATCTGAATTGTTCTGTTGTCTAACTTGTTCATGCTAATTATTAACATTGACTTTACAAAAGATAGGATGTACATGTGTGTTAATCTATTATATATCACTTATTCAGAAGTAAGTAACATAAACTTTTGTTATTTTTACAACTATAGACTCTGCGCCTATAAAGAAGCCACTGGAGGAAATATATCTTGTTAAGAACCATTATTAAAGTTTAATTTTGTTTTACCGTGTTTCAAATCATGTTCCAAATCAGATGCTACACATCTGTCTAATATCCACATAATCCCCAGAAGTGAATCTGAAGGAATGGAGGATTGCATGTATTCTGGTTTTTATTTTTTGGATGATATAGACTGTATAGTTAATACATATATGTGCCCTAATCACAGGCAAAACTTGGACTTGCTTGGACTTTTTTATTGTTTTTGAGTCTCATTTGTGTATAAACTGATATTAAATGATCTAATATAATGACTTTTGAAAAATTATGAAAATTCTTTTTGCATTTTTGAGCTATTAGGAAATGGGACTTGTAAGAAAAAGTAGCCACTAAAATTTTATTTTTGGTTCTTCCAAGGATTTTCAAAGTTAAAATTGGGGACTTGGAAGAACAATCTGATTTGATTTATATTCTTAAGGAAGAGATTGCAAGGGTCCATGAAAAAAATCCGCTCTATGAATTTTTCTCATTTTTACATATAATTTGCCTTACGTTAATGGTATCATAATAAGAAAATGTCAACCATGGTCATCAGGGTTATAAGGAAGATATGGTTGCCATGGTAACCACCGTTTTTCAATATTTTGATATTTATGTAGTGAAATTTTAAGTATGCCATACAGATATCAAAATTGAAACAAATTAAATAATTTTCACCAGATATTAAATAATATGCTTTTTATTCATTGAAAATAAAAATTATATCAGAAACTATTGATAGATATAGTAATGCCACAGTTGCTTTGAGGAGTAGTCATTGTAAATTTGCAGTTATATTTTCACCCCAGGAGCAGTTTTCAACGTCTTGACAAAAAATTGTCCAATGAATTTTCCTAAAATTGATATATTTTGTAACAATTATTATAAGTGACTTATGGTTAAAATATGAAGTGGGGTCATCACATTCTTTTTTAAGCTACATGCATTTCAATACCACCCCCCCCCCTTCCTAAAATATTAAAAGTTTTCATAAATTTTAATCTGATGGTTTGTTGCTGAACCTTTAAAGTGCATAATCTGTTAAAAGACTATAAAAAAAAAAACAATACGTACAGATTAATAAAATATTTTTTTTCTGAAAATCTTGTGGTGGTTGCTCATTTTATACGTAGAGCAGAATGATATAAGTATCATGTACACAAAAAACAACAGTATGCACATTTTTTTTTTTTATTTTTCCATCTCCAAAATATTCATTCCGTTATTATTTCAATATAAATATATACATTCTAAACCAGTGCACAGTGGTCCAAGGGCCAAATTGTTCATGCTCTGAACACTGCACTGTGACTTGGAATCGGAAAGGGGGGTGGGTGGGGGGGGGGGGTGGGGTGGGGTGGGGGGGGGTAGTCACTTGAACACATTGATTGAGTAGATTATTTCAGAGAACTATACCGTATATAAAATAATTCTAGCTTTTATCTTATTTGACAAATTTTATTGATTTGCTATGAAATATTTACATTTGCAAATATTTTTCCTACACATTCATTGCAAGTTAGAAAACAGTTCATTTTCTCATGAACTAGGTAAATCTACATATCTCCATTGTGACGTCATAATACCACACTTGACGTCAAAACTATAGGCCTAGTGCAAACTGTTTTGTTTCCAAAATAATGGTTGAATGACTTTTATAAATTTGCGCTTCATGATCACGCGGTTCATTAAATATGCTGAGGTGAAGCGTCTTTGTTCATGTCCTCGTGAATTTTCAAAAATTAAATTAATTTTTCAAATATATTACCTTGAGCATGATGAGTTGAAATTTTTTTTTAAATGTATATAACGTTATGCTCAAAATAATTTTCTTTCTCAGGTATGCCTGGTACCTCCGTAGTTCCTCGATTGTCAGAGTTAGCCTTCTTACATGCGTATTTATTGATAGATTTGTGAAAACCTATCTGTTCTTTTCATCAGAAGTGTGTCGAGTTTCAATTCTTTTACCAAATACGACGCATAAAACAATTTACTACAACAAATGTTTACGCAATATATGTGTCGATGATTCAATGTTTACAATGCACATGGTCGATGTTAATGTTGAAAATGCTAGAGAAGATCTTACAGAGGAAAACAATTTCCTCTGCGATATTTTTTAAAAATACTTTCATGTCCAGCATGCAACCTGAAACTGGTCTGTACACGTATATATGAAAATCACATTCGTTTATGCTTCCATATACGCCTATATTCATTATAATCACTGAGAAAATCACACCGTCTGAAGCTTTTAGGAAATGATTGTCTATTCATAGATGTAAACCCTATAATAAAAAACACGATCTCAAATAAAATTCTAGTATTTGAATTAAAACTAGAGGACGTAAAGATCCAAGTATGAATTAAATTTATTCATGAAACAGATTACAGCGTTCAGAACTACGACAAAGGCTAGACGTGTCAAAACGAAAAAAAAAAAAAAAAACACATGGATAAAAAAAAAATCTGCGTCGACGCTCACCAACACTCTGCAACATCACATCTTTAGGGCCTATCTTATTCGTTCTCCGTTTAAAAAATATTGCCACGAAAACCTTTTATCATGGGCGTAATCATAATCACGCTTCTTATTCCGGAAATGGTTACCGTAAATGTTCTTTTTTTAAACATCACATGAGTCGATCACGTGACGCCATACAATCGCTTCCTTAAAGAGTAGTTGTCAATAGTTGAAGCATTATTCACGTACTTTAAAGAAACCACCTCCTTAAAAAGAAAATTGAAGATTTTACAAAAGGGGAAAATTAAATTTTTTCCATTTAATATATTAAAAAAAAAAAAACATAAAAAAAAAAAAAAAAAAACAAACAAACAAACAAACAAACAACAAAAAAACAAGGGGGGGGGGAGGGTTTGGTAGGGTTGGTAGGCTGAACTCTAAGGATGTTTTTGCTCAATGTGGTTAAATCAATTTTTGTTGAATCATTTTTAGTCTAAATAACGTTGACTTTAGTTCAATCTGATGAGAATTAAGAGGTTGAATGGTATAAGCAGAGGGGAAAAATAAAATAGATTTTTCATTGGATTTCTCCTGTAAGTGCTTTTGGAACTATTGAAAGAGAATTTTGTAAAGGGGCATTAACCATAGCTGAACTTAAGGTATTTCCACCCTCACGAATTTATGGGTTCAAAATAGAAAAACTGCACTTATTGTCACTGATCACTGAATATAGTTTAAATCTATTAATAATCACTAAAAATGGATAGGTAACCGTATTTTTAAAGACGTAAGACATACATAACCAGAAGTATATGTCAGCATTAAAAATCGAAAATTTTAGTAAACAGTATTATAGAAATTATGTAAAAACTGGTTCAAATACATAATTCTGATGCTGAAAGTTCCAACATAATTGTTACTTTATAAATATGTTTGAATTGTGAATTGTAACAGGGAAACCATTTAACATTAGAAGTACAATAAAGAAAATTCCTGAATGAAGATACATCAGGAGGAGTTACTGCCCTTAGCAACATATTTTTAAGGATTAAATAACTGATAAAATAGGGAAAATATTCACTCTTTTACTTAACAATATTTTTCATTACACCCACTGAAAAACATTCTTTCGAAAGATATTTTTCTATTGGGTATGAATTTAAATTAATAACAGTTTTTGCTAGAACCCATGACATTACAGGAGGGTGGAATTTCCTTAATGGGCTTTTCTGTTAAAAAAATATTGTTTTCATCATCTTAAACACTTCTGCATTTTCATGTTTAAATTTACTGAAAATATCATTGTGACCATGCTTGACACCGAATATCCTTCAGTAAAGGGGCATATTTCAAGTTTGTTCAAATAAATGGCCGAGCCCCATCCCAAGAGGAGATAATCAGGGGAAGCCAAAAATAGGGTGGGGTCATTTACATTTACATTTGCATAAATCTTAAGAAAAAGATGATGCAAAAGCTTCCTGATATATCAAATAATGGCCATAGGGTTTAAGGTGAAACCACAACAGGGAATCAAAGTATATAGGCAAAAAGTAAAAACAGCGGAGCCAGGATTTGTCATATTATGCAAAGAATTTTCGGGTAGTGCAGATTTCATTGTGTACTAATTATGGTCCCTGGGGCTAAGATGAGGCTAAAATGGAGACTCAATGAGAATACATGTAACATTTTCGGATATTCTTTTCAAGAATAGCAAAACCAAACTAAACCATATCAATTAATTTGAAAAGATTCCCAGGTTATGTGGATTTTAGTTTTTTCCTCAGATTGTCAACCTCTAGGTATGGAAGGAGATAAAATTTGGGACCAAATCTTAAATAGTGCTGGGGAGGAAAATCTTGGGGAACATCAAGGTCACTTTAATCATTATTGATGTTGAAGCATCATTATTTAGTGTTGACTAAAGGTTGTTCATGATGCATTACTTTGCACATGTTTCAAATACATGTATTTCAAGAACACGTCATAACAGATAAAATTCTAAACTTAGACCTTAATTAATTAACTGATCTTTCCATTGGGGACAAGGTCAACAGTAGAGCATGAATTTATCTTCTTGAATTGTCTAACAGTATACACTGCATCAATGTATGAAATATTTGGAGCAAGGTTCAAAATATCAAGAACCACGTAGATTTAGATATTTAATAAGAAATTATTAGGCAAAGAATATATAATACAGAATAATTTGACCTTAGGGTCAAAGGTCAAAGTGAGGAGAAGCTCATACCGTCATAGTAGTGCATGACTTATTTCCTGTTACAACTGCACCAATGTGGAATAAGGATATCTTGTTTCTCAAAGAACAAATCACTTCTAGTTATCTGAATTGTTAACAGGATATCATATAAAAATGCTCAAATTTGCATATTTTTGAACCTCCATGGCAACAATGTTTTTGAAAGTCTGCCCAATTTTATTTTTTAATTTTTTGTATACTCAAACAGTTACAAAATTTCATTATAAAGTTTATGAGCAGTTGTACAGATTTTTGTCAAACGCCCTTTAAAAATGTTTTAAATTCAGCTATTTTTTCAATGCTAAACTTTTCGCTTTTTCCCATTGCCATAGCAACGTAACAGAGGAACTTAATCCAATTTAATCAGTTAAAGTAGTACTTTCAATTTAGTCATCTTTAAAAAAAAAAAAAAGTAATGAAAACCATATTTTTGCGTGAAAATACACTTAATTATGTCAGTATTTGCCCGTTTTGAATGTAAAAAGTTGTTCTGGTAACTAAAGAAATGTTTCACCGTGGATACGACTCAGTGATTATGGTTGAAATCATTAATTTTGAAGTTTTCTTGTTATTTAAGACAGAAATAATCCATAGATACTATTTAAAAAAAAAAATCATATTTTTTACTTTCCATAGAAAGCTCAATGCTTATTGACATGGTCTCTTAACACTCTAAAGCCAAGGAAAATTTATGTATGATTTGGCAGTATCAGGAATTTCCAAAAAAATAAATAATGCTGAAATCAATGGAAACCAATACAAAATATTTTGTTTTAACAAAATATTTCATGAACTTTAAATTCACAATATTAACGGTTCAAATAACAATAATTAAATTCTTTTGATTTATTACATTAAATATTAAAATCTTTCAAAGACAGACAAAAATAGCTTAGTCGATCGAGGTTTTAAAAATCTTTCATCATAGCTTCAATAAATATAATGGATGATCTCTAGAATATATTGGGAAGCTAAAAATCAAAACTTACCTATAATTACTTGACTTTCATCATGTTCTTGCATCTCATATGATCTAGCATTTTTGAGGTCATCCCCTCTTTGCTACAAGCATAATTAAAAATGAAAAAAATATAATGATTACCTATGGAATAAAGCCCTAGTACGATATTTTTCAAGGTGTTTTGAATATGTTTGGAGTTCCATAGGATATAAGTCAATTCCGTACAAGAGTAAAAAAAATTTTCTAAAGGTTTTTGGGATCTTTGGGAATTTGAAATAAATTTAAACGTAGGCATTCTTTGGGTTGGAAACTAATGTATGTAAATGTAATGTAAGTCTGACATTTTATCCAAGACAAGAAGAACTGCTATTTTTCAAAATTAATTAGCAGGTTTTTAACCAATTCTTCAAATTTTTAGCTGTTATTTGGCAGTTCTAGGTTGTTCATTTGACATTAATTTTTAAGACTGCTGTGAATGCCGTCAGCTTATCTATGAAACATGCTAGCTATAAAAAAAACAAAAAAACAAAAAAAAAAAAACAAACCCATATTTCATTCAATATTCGTGGGCTTGCTTCTCTCATTGAGAAGCACCAATCAAATTCAAGCTTTCATAAATAGTTAGATAAGGATTCAGTTGACACCTCAAATGCACGTGTTACAAGTTGTTTATCATAGAACGGCTTTATGTGATTGGTTGAGAGATAAGAAAAACAATCAAGATTTGTAATTTTTCCGAAAGATGTCGCTACAGTCAGCCCACAAATATTGAATGAAATATGCCAGGGGTCAAACGGCAACGTGTTGACTCAGGACCCCTGGCTTGCGAGGATGACAGATGCATGAATAAACATATAAGTTAAGCTTATTTTGGCTTTAAAGGATGCAAATGTCAAATCTCTAAAATATTAAGATACTTTCTATGAAGTTCATACTTCTTTCTTTATGCCATCACCCATATGAATCTCGATAATTTTTATCCCTTTTAGGGCTTTAACCGGAAATTTTTTAATGAAAATTGAAACTTCAGTTTTTTTAAAGAATATTTTTTATGATATTTGAAAAAAAGATTTTTTGCAGTATTTGTCCTTGCAAAAAGACTAATCTACATTTTGACAAAAATTTGAGATGTCAGCATAATCATCTGAGAAGTCAACATCACTTTCTAACAAGTTATCATATTTATCTTACAAGTAAACATAATTTTTGACAAGTCAACATCAGTATCAGATAATTTATCATAACATTCCACAAGTAGAATAATTTAAATATAAATTATTTAGACTAGTCAGAATATTTGACAAAATGTGGGATATGTACGCATGTCGGCTTAACACTTAGTTACACATGTCCATGTACGTAGGGAAGCGTAAAGGTCCCTTAACTTGTTGTGTTATAACGTGAATTACGGAAGCGTAAAAATCTCTACACTTGTTGTTTATAACTTGTATATTGTCTTCTATTTTATTGTCTTATCAACATATAATGTGTTATAACTCCTTATTTTTTTTATTTATACAAATATTTTGAATTGTATTTCGATGTTTTTTTTACAAATTGTAAGTCAACATCTTTTATTTAATTGATTTTATTGCTAGAAGTGTTATCAACTTAAAAAATATTGATTTTAAGACATTAATCAAAGCAAGCCATTAAATATTATCAATATAGTTATGTCGATATATAACAATAAATATACAGTTATAACAATATAAATATATGAATATATCCGAGAAAGAAGTGAGCAAATATTTTTATTGAATTCACTTCGTGGGGGTGGGAATTCTATTGAATCTTCACTTCACTCGGGATTCAGTGAAAGATCCTGTACCATGTATTTGCTATCGTATACTATTATAGACTGATGCAGATTCAAAAATGTTTTGAAAAAGGGGGATTGAGAGACAGTTAGATCATAGGCATAGTCATAGGGGGCTACTGTCCCCATCACCACTTTTTAAGAGTGGGAGAGGAAAGAGTATCTTTGTGCCCCTCATCCATTATTTTTTACCTGAGTATAATATAGATCCGCTAATATATCCGAAAAATAAAGAAGAATATTCGCAGTTAGATAATTTAATCTCTTTTTCCCCTTTTATTTGGCTGATCCCCATTCCTTCCCCCTTTTAATTTTGTGACTAAGCTTGTGCAGATTGGCTGCCATGAAGCACATTTTTTTAACATCACTCTAAGTAATAAGATGTAAGATCTGATGTGTTCGAAACCATTGCAAGACGTGGAGACCGGTCCTTCGGATGAGACCGATATTTATACATTTTATATCATATATATTCTATCATGATTCACTGCTTATTTTTTTTAGTTCGAGGGGCGGGAAGGGTGTCAAGACTGGAGGTTCACGTTTATGTGGCAGATCCTACGTTTACCACAGAATAAAAAAAATACAATAAAATATTTACAGTTTTCATAGCCAGTGTCACTTTTATAATATTGTTACTTTCGCTTCATCCTCGAATAAGACTAGTACCAATTGTATTTATGAATTGAACATTAAAACAATTGGGGGGGGGGGGGGGTCAATAATTTTTTTAGTCACATCAATATTTAATTCTGTAATTCTGCATACTTTGTAAGCACATAATTTTCATTTCAAAGAGAGATTAGTGAATTTTATTCATAAGGAAAAATATTAAATTATTACTAGACTTACATATACAAATGTATTATTAATTTCTTATTAATTAGAATGAGTAAACTGGTTATTGCTTCAATGGAGACAATCTAACTGATCATGCCCCCCTCATTCCCTTCTTCAACACGTTTTTCTCTATAATCATACAACAAATATTTGAGACTTTACACATGGCACACTGTGCATGTGCCGTCAATAAATCTGAGTGATTTGACGTTTCTTTAGAATTCCCGCGCCCGCGAAATTAGTTGGAAAACAATATTTTCAAACTTTACCCATAGAAATACTAGCATACATATATTAATTTAACTATTATGCATATATTTTTATTGTTGTGTGTTGAGCTAACTACATCGATATCTTTAATTGTCAGATTTTTCAATTAATATTTTTTAAGTCGATATGTATTTTAGCAATAAAATCCATCATACAGAAAAGACGCTTTAAATTATGTGAAAATACCCAGATACAATATGCAACATGTAAATGAAGATAGGAAATCATAACAGATTATAGGTTGATAAAACAATAAAAAGTAAGACAATGTACAAAAACATAACATAACAAGTGTGGAGACCTTTACGTTTCCGTATGTACGACATACAAAACCCCTTTTTTCATATCCATTGTGTCTTATTTAACAACTTACAGGTTTTTGAGGTTACCAATAAAAGATGTAAATGAATGTAAGAAAGTCCATGACTGGAATTTATGATATAAAAATAAGTACCATTTTATATGATATGATTTCTATTTTATTAGTAGGAATTTTCTTACGGGAACGAATGTTTTCTATTTAATAAACCGTGTAGAAAATACTTCGAGATATTTAAGGATATTACATGAATAAAAAATGATAGCTCAGTTAGATGAAATATATGGAGATAACGAACAGTATTCAAGCTCAAAAGTCCATTATACAATACAAAATAGGAGCAGAGCAAACACGGACCTCCAAACATCAGAGGTGGGATTTACATGTAATCTAGCAACATTGTTGTGTTAAAGAAATGTTTTAATGTAACTAATTTTTTATACATGTCAAACTTTTGTTATCGCATTATCTTTACCTGATTGGAGAAATACCGTCTTGTTGGATTTGTCCCTTCTCTCGACCTTATCCTAAGATTTCTCTCTTTCCTCTAAAATGATTGCATAGAATTTATGTTTTCTACTTTCAAATTGAATCTTGAAAAAATTATATAATAAATTGGCTAAAAGAAGTGAACATAAAGGATTTTAACTTACCCAATATTTAATCATTTTTCTCCAATTAACATTGTGTGGTGCATTCGAATTACAAAAACATTCGCCTTTTTCGGCAGCTTTTGCAGAGCCAACTGCTTCCTCTTCTAAAATAAACCGTCCTTCACTTTCCTTCGTTATTTTGTCCTTCTCCATACAACTGAATCCAACCTCATACTCCACTGCTTTGTGAAAAGTTTTTACAACGGAACTCAGGATTTTTTCGACTGTGTCTCGAACCTTGCATGTATCACTCGAATGCAATGATCTTGAAATACTGTACACCAATAGCTGAATCGATGTTTTGTTAACTCCAATAGCTATTATAAACCCCTTTGGCTTGTGCTCTAGCAGAACAATGTTTTTGAACAATCCAGGTGTGCCATCTATTTCAAGGAATTTCCATTCGTGCATACAACTAACGACAACTCTTTGGAAAAAGAAATGGTGCAGACAATGCTTGAATCGGAAACATATGACTGACGTTTTTTCATAACGCTCTGAAGATATTCTCGCGAGAAGTGAAGTTTGGATATCCATTTTGTTGACACATGGAATGTAATGAAAGTTCTTTCCAATGACTAAAAGGCCCAGTCGTTCCATATATTTTAGAATAATGTCTCCGTATTCTTTGAAGTCTTTGTCACCATGAGATTCCCAGAAGTCTACCAGAGTTTTACATGGTAGCTTTCCTAAATGATAGAAGTTGTTCCAATCTTTCGGTTTTGAGAAAAAGTCCTTAATCCAAAGAAATTGTTGGTTTGGGTTATTAGTATCTTTCATCGCATTTCCTTGGTTTTCATCCATTGTTATGGATTTGAATGCATCAATAAACCATTGGACATCAAGAATGGCTACACTGTTCAAGGACGTTTCATTGAAGAAGAGAATATATCCAATATCATGGAAAAACTGCAGCATGTCTTGAATTTTAACTGTTTCTTTCTTCAGATTAAATCTTTTTGTCATCTCTGACACATGCATGACTTTGACTCCGGAAAGTTCTAAATCTCTTTCAACGGATAACCAAAAGGAGGGAATGAATTCTCCCCAATGCGAATACTGCTGTTCTCCATTCTCAGGCGATAAGAGGTGAAGGAGAAGCTTCTGAATGTCAAATATCTTTTCCTTATCTTCGGGGGTAGCTCCAATTTCAAAATATCTTTGTGTAGAAATGTGCTTTTTCAGATTTTGTTCTTCAGGTAACGAATGTAGAATTTCGTCAAAAAAATTTTCGTTCGATGTCTGAAGCAAAATAAGCAAAGTTTAAGACTGAGATTGGATGATAATTTATAAAAGACATAAAAGTTCTTATCTTAATAAATAAACTCCTTACAATGAGGTTTATTATAAAACATTGTTTTTCTTGAAATTATTTCATTAAAATATTAATTGAATGAATGTATGTGTTCTTATAGAGTTCTTATAGTCCAATTCAAATGAGGAGACCTCAGAAACTTTGGTTGAAGTGCCATAAACTTTGACCTATACTTAAATACTTCTGTGAACAATTAAAACATGTTAAATGCTCTTTTTGGAAACATATTGCTACTTAATCATAAAAGAAGCAAACAATTAAAAGATATGATGAATTTTGCATTTTTGATATGTCTTTTACATTCATGATTGATTTGCTACAAATCAACTATTATTTGCCAAATCTTTTATTCGCGAACCGTGTGTCTGAAACGCATCCGCGACTATTAGTTTTTGCGACTGAAAAAAAAAATATACATACACAATCGAAAAATACATATACGTTCACACCGATAAATATAGTAAAAAAATGTCGCAGAACAAAACTAGGTTGCTTTTTGAACAGGACAAATTTTTACTATGTATGTGATGAATTCACTTTTTGCAGAACTATTTTTTAGCAACATTTCGCTGGAATCCCTTCAATGCATCATATTAGTCGTTGACTTATTTTGAGCAAAAACTGGTCTTTTTTTTTTAATCAATCTAAGTTTTTTTTTATTCATTTGGGTTTAAGTAACCTTTTTCTTGCATTGAGAACCTCTCTTGTGCTTTTTGAGCTATGACAATGATGTTAATAATAAATAAAACCATTTTCTTTGAAACGGTATTAATACTTTAATTTATCCTTTTCCAAGTATACGAGAAATTCTGAAAACGCAATACAGAAACTTATCTAGAATCAACCCCAACTGAATATAAATATCTTTAGTCAAGACATGACGACTAAAAACATATCCATGGGACACCTGAACCGCAGTGGAACTCAGTTCCATACTTAGAAAACTTTCTTTGGGAAACGTAATTATTGATCAAGTCGCGTTAAGTTTTTTTTTCATGAAAAATAGAAGAACCAGGGAGTTAAAGTAAAATGTAGAAATTCAATTTTAAAATTATTTTTTTGTTCATTTCCTTCACAAAAGAAATATTTTCTTTCTAATCCATAATGAAGGAGAAGACACATTAAACCACAGTGTTTGTTAAAAGTGCGTCGTGTTCTCTGCTCAATTTTGTCAAAATTTTTCGGGTTACCTTTTCATATACAATTAATATATTAAAATTGTCCTCATGATCTAAATATGAATTTTATGTAACTTCAAAACTGATGTTTAAAAAATTTATATTATTTCTACCTACAAGATATACAATACAGATGTATTATCCTCTATGGTTTTTAAAATGCGCATTCTAATGCTATGCGTATTCGACAACAGTTCAAAACATGTCATAAAGGACTTAGCTAAGTTACTGATAGCTGAGTACTAATTTGAATTTAAAAAAAAAAACAAACAAACACGAGAATGGACCTTACTGGCATTTACAGAATTACAAAGAAAATTACGTTAAGCAATTTTTTCTTATAGAAACTAAAAGATTTTTTTTTCTACTTTCTCTTTTCATACAAAAATTAAACATTTCTACTCTAATCCATAATAAACATGACTCATTAGTCAACAGTGGTTACGTAATGGATAAATAACGAGATGGTGTTAAATAGTTTAGAGAAAACAATCCCTCCGAGGGCCTTCGGCCCTCGGAGGGAATGTTTTCTCTAAACTATTCAACACTATCGAGTTATTTATCTTACTTAAAAAACTTCTCCACTTTGGACCCTAAAGAAACATCTAACCATTCATATATCTAACTTTGCTGTAATACAATGGGATCTATCCCATTTAGATATCCAACAGTGACAAAATACAATAGCCTAATCGAACACCCCTTTTATTCATGGATTAGTGAGCATGAAACTGCATGGTGCTAATGTCATTTCATTGTGCTGAACAGTCATGAAATCAGACGAAGAATAGTTTTAAATCCAAAGTAAAAAAAGGGAGGTTCAGATAGTGTTTTGAATTTACTTTAGACCTGAAAACAGAGGAAAACTACAGAATTTTGATAAAAGGTTGGAAATCTATCATTACATATAAGATGATGATTTGTTGAGGAAAGGTAATGGAATCTTATGGAGTTCCATTCTGACAATACTTCTAGAAGTGCTAAAACAGATGAAAGGATTGTAAGTGTTATGCGGGACCCGCCTTAAAAATATTCCATATCAAGATCTGAAATAAAAAAAAGGTGACGAAAAATAGATGAGCTATCAATTTATTTAATTGTTTTGGGAAGTACTCTGGAAAAGTATGCGAACATTCTGTTAAAAAACTATCGGATAAATATTGGATATTTTAGGACTACAAGAGTCTAATAGTGTGCAAATTTTTGAGGAATTGTAATCTTTGTGAGCATTGGAAGTACATTTTAACACGATTCTAATGGTGATTCCGTGTGCATTGCAATGGACATAAATTCTAATATTGTGAAAAATTCGGAGTAATTATTTTTTATGTGCATTGGAAATACACTGTACATTTGAAACTCTTTTATCTCTTTTGTTCATTGCTTACCGGTAATTATTTTTGTATGCACAGTCGGATATTTAAATATCCAACCGATAGGCAGTTGGATATTTGAAAATCCAACTGATGGCCAGTTGGATCTTTAAATATCCAAATAGTGATGGTTGAACCGGTAAAATATACCTAGACTAATAACAATGGGTGACGTCATTGAAGTTTTTTTTTAATAGATACGAGTCGTGTTATCATCTCGAAATAACAAAGCTATCATGTTTATTGATCCTTATACCCAATTTGGAAAAAAAAATCCTGAAGTTTGAATTCTGCGTCTTTCTTTAAAGTGCTAATACCATTTAAGTATTTTCGCACTTCATACTTCCCGAGCGTCAGGGGTGAGCGTCTATATACAATGCTACTAAAATCTGTAAAACAAGGATAAAAACAAGCTTTTGTTCAGTGAGCTACAAAGTTATAAAGCTGGGTCTTAAAGCTGTCCAGTGTCTTGGCCTCCACTATCCCCCCTGGAAGCTTGTTCCAAAGCCTTATCGCTTGGGGGAAGAGTGAAGAGTGGTACATTGTGGTCCTTGCGTGTGGTATAGGAACCGCATAGTGTGGCCTCTGGTCCGCTGCACCATATGTTGTAGATGTTGATCAGCTGGAATGTCTACTAGGTGGTATACAATACTGTATAACGTAACAACTAGTGCTGTATCTCATCGTTGTTTTAGAGTTTACCACTGGAGGTGTTGTTAAAGCATGGATGTTACACTACTGGTGCGGTAATAGTCTCCAGTGGCAAACCGTGCTGCTCTACGTTGTACTGCCTCAAGCTTAGTGATGTTATGTTTAGTTTCTGGTCTCCAAACACTAGCGGCGTACTCCAGAGTTGGTCTCATTAGTTAGAAGTAACATTATGCCTTGATGGTTGTTAGACATCGGCAGATGTTTCTTCCGAGGAAAGCCAGGCTGGAGTTGGCTTTTTTGTGATTTTATCCAAACGTGTGTCCAAGCTAATATTTTTCTGTAAAGTCACTCTAAGAAACTCTGCTTGGTCAACGTTGTTGAGGACTTGACCTTGTATAGAATAACTGGCTAGCAGTGGAGATCATCAATTGGTTACCCACGACACCTCACATTTGTCCGGTTTAAACCTCATTTGTCAACGGTCCTCCCACTGCTGTAGATGGATTAAGTCTTTGTGCAGCATTTCTTGGTCCTCTTTTTCCCTTATCCTTCGATACAAGAGGCATTCGTCTGTTTGTTGATGTCACTGTAGAGGACATGTCGTTTATGAAGACTAGGAACAGTTATGGACCTAGGACAGTTTCCTGTGGGACGTCTGAAGAAACTGGTGTGGCAGATGATGACTGGCCATGAAGAACAACACAATGGGTGCGGTTAAGGAGAAAGTTTGTGATTCACTCATGTGTTTTAAAAGTTGAAAGTCACAATAATATATCTTTTTGAAGATTAAAAAAATGAAACAGAACAGACTAAAATTTCTTAAGAGGAAGAACTAGTCAAATATAAATATTAATTCTGATATATATGTAGGACTCCAAAGTCCGATGGTCACGCTAAAGTCCGATGGCTCATTTCCTATTATACACGTGCGCTTAAGTGCGATGGTCTGACACGCCAAAGTCCGATGGTGCGGAGAAAAATTCACGTTTATGACGTCACAATATTCTGACGTCAATCCTCGACGCCATAGTCCGTAATTCAAAATCAATAATTTAGGATGAGTCATCGAATACAATTTGACTGATTTTACTTAATGTTTGCACTCACCTGAGATATTAGGATTAGTCCTTGCACACCACTTGGCTGATAAGGGTTAGTGATGGGTTGAACCCACCCAAGACATTAGGGGTTAATCCTTGTATATTATTCGATTGAATAGTTTTAGTCTCGCACCCCAAAAGAGGTTTGACTGATTAGGGTAAGTTTCTCTCCCATCCAGGATATTTTACAGACTTTTTAACCGATTAGGGTTAGCCTCGCACACATCCAAGAGTTTAGGGTTAGCCTCGCACCCATCAGGGAGATTAGGGTTAGCCTCGCACCTATCCGAGCGGAAAGGCTTAGCCTTACCACCGTAGAAATTATGGCTAGTGGTACAATATATTTTTTGCATTGTTTAGTGAACCGTATTAATTTAGCGTTTAAATACTTAAAATTCATTTCATTTATTTAAAACCGTTTTACCTTGGCGTGGCGCGGCATAGCAATTTGGCGCAGAAGTACTATGACGTCATAAACAATAATCAATTTTTTTGCGCCATCGGACTTTGGAGTGTGAACCATAGGGGTCTGGCTCAGACCATCGGACTTTGGCGTGACTTTTGGCTTTGGAGTCCCATCGCACTTTGGAGTCCTACATATATGTTCAAAACTTATGCAATAATC